TGCTCTACTTTGCATTGAGCACTTTTTTAAAAAGGAAATGCTACGAACAGTGGACACACACACATATATATATAAGTAAAGATAATACTTAAAAAAATCCATTTCGGTTATAATTTATTTCATGAATATATTCAAGTATTCATCTCTTCAGACCGAAGTTTTTTTAGAAATTAAATCAATTTGTCCAGACAAAAGGAAAAGGGAGAGGAAAAAAGAAAGAAAAATGAAAAGTAAAACATTTTTTCTTATATTAAAGAGGAAGAAAGAAAAAAAAGACTTCAATACAAGGTTTGGGGAAGAAGGGGTAAAGTGGGACAGAGTGAAAGGAAGGGGAATAAAAGTAGGGAAAGTAAGAAGAATTAAACATCCTCCTTGTAATTATCCCTATCAACCTGTCGAACTTGTATCCTATACGGAACCGTCATATAGCCTGACGTGCTTTACCGGCTTAGCCACAGAGGAGCGTTTCGGTTAACAAGGTCGATTTTACTGTTTTTAAACTACAATTCTCCAATCTAAAATCGACCTCGCTAACCGAAATGCTCCTCTGGCGTTAAACAACGGTATGAATACAAATGCTCGCTAAATGGAAATAAGCCTGATGACTAAAATAGTGATGCAACCTTACCACTATATTTTAACAAGTATACCTCAGACCTCATTGAACAAGTGGATTGCCTAATTGAAGTATCCATACTTCTTTATCTACGCGCTGGTGACATTTTTTTTTAAATTATTATATATATAAGATTAAGGGCTTGATTAATATTTACGGGTCACAGGATCCTCCACGAGGCCGACAACTGTCTGAATACCTAATAGAAAGTATCCATACTTTTTTTATCTACCAATAATTGCTTATTGAAAACGGGGTTTGTTCAATGATAGAGGACTGTCTTATTTAAATTTGTTCTTTTTTTTTAGGTTTTCTTTGATTCATTCTTCGCTATCGCAGTTATCATCACGCTGTCGTGTGTTTATCAATTTCATTTCAGGGTGAAGGCGATCATGGCTCTCCACCATTTCCTGTCCAGGATAGCTCTTAATTTTTTTTTTATCTCACTTAAACCCTATTCCGTCATTCATTTACTTCTTCATGTCCTATGTGCAGTGTCCCTTCAGGGAATAAGCGATCATGGCTCTCAACTATTTTTTCCAGAGACCACTTTTGTTAAAATCCTAGTTTAGTACCGCGGTAAATTCATAAACTTTTGCTCTGTAAAGTTATTGCAGACCCCAACTTTTCATATTTGGTGTACAGTGTCTTTTATTTTAATATCTTAATATATATATATATGATATATATATATATATATATATATATATATATATATATATATATATATATATATATATGATATATATATATAATATATATATATATATATATATGATATATATAAACAACAACTCTTGTTTTTGGCGAGCTTTAATAAATCGTCAATTTTGTGCATGACCTGAAATTCGTCTTTCGCTAAATTTATATTTATGAGATAATATGACGAACACTGACAATGGATTTAGTGAATTTAGATCATAATGGCACAAGTAGAAAAATAGGTTATTGAAATATATACACGACTGGCAAGGAAAAAAGTGGTTTTGAATTAAATCTATTTTTTTTTTTAATATCTTATAATCTTTTATTTATTTTCATTTACCAAAAAACAAAAACAAAAACAAAAAAAAACATCGAACTGCTTTACATTTTTTTTTAAACATCCTCATCTGATAATAATTAATCTTATAATCTGTTTTGTATCCTTGGAAGCAAATCTTCTCTTTACCTTTATTACTGAATATAACTTTAGTGATGGAGTTGTGGTAAAAGAGCAACTGAGATCAATGGTGTTTACTTGACTGTTCCTTGAAAACGGAACCAAAACTGATAACAACTGTGCGGTAATTAAAAAAATTAACTTTAAATAGCTTAAAAAAAAAAAAAATGTTACTGGTGTTTAATTTTAAGCAGTTTAGTATCTACTTTTCACTTGCGCCATTTTTATTGATGCTATTACTACCGTTCACCGAATTTCCTATGATGGACACTGTTACCTCTATGCTCCACGGTCGTACACAAGGAAAAAGGTATGCCGTAATGGAAAGATTTAATGAATTCCACGCATGAATTTTGAAAATTTCAAATGTAAACTGCCCATTTTTTTTTTTCTAAACACTTTTCTTGAGTAAAACGAATATATCTTTTGTATATCAAATTTAATGTTCAGTAAGTTTTACGGGCAGGAGTTGCTCGCCTACATTCAACCAGTTTTCGTTTCAAAGTTGTCCTTTCGTACCCTCATAAAATGGTAACGATATTTCCGTAATTTTGCAACTGAATTAAGTATATTTTCTCCATGACTAAACTGGGAGTTTTACCTATACAATTCATTCTATTTTCGAATGTAAGAAAGAAATATGTTTTATAAGTTATTAAAAGTAAAAATATCCCAAGTAAACTGACACTACCCGACCGTCAATAAATATTCAAGTGATATTGTAACTGAATTTATTAAATTTACTGCATGAGTTATTTTAGATTTTTACCTTTACAATTCTATTGTTACATAAAAGAAAGTTTCCCGTATTTTTTTCATAAAAAGTAAAAAAACATATTCAAAAAAAGAAAACCCGATGAATGCAGTCAAAAAAATGACAGACATTAAAATGATTTTTCAATTACAATGCGCCTATTCTCTGCGTGAGCATTCTAGATTTGTTATTCCTTCAGTTTAGTAGAGAAGTTTGGAGTTACCCCACTTACTTTCCTAACAAAAAAAAAACGCAACTAGGTGACGCTTGCTGAACCTGTAAATCATTCCCTTTTTCACTCAGGAACGGTAAGTTGTAGGTCGAACGAGGTAAACATTTTTCCCCACTATGGAACATCCACGAGTTATTAAATGTTTTTCATACACGATCATTGTTTTGTGACATGCATACAATATCATTGACTTTGTCGATCACAAAAAGGTTACTTTTTGTTAATATCGTTTGTTTATATATATATATATATATATATATATATATATATGTGTGTTTATGAGAGGGAGAGAGATAGATTAGATAGATAAGATCAGATAGATAGATAGATAGATAGATAAGATTAGATTAGATAGATAGATAGATAGATAGATAGATTAGATCAGATTAGATAAGATCAGATTAGATTACATAGGATTAGATTAGATTAGATTTTAGTTGTTACTTTGTATTTTATTATCCGGACACATATGCAAGCCCGCCATTTTTGTTATGGGATAAACGTTCCCGAAGTCAGGTGTTTTCCAACTCAAACACCAACAGACACGCAACAGATCTTTTCTATTAATTCACCCAAAATGATGTAAAGTTACTTATCGCATATATTAATTCACCCCAAGAGATTATAAATTTAAATCACAGTTTGTTTTTTGTTAAATTTTTGGATCTCTTTTGAAATTATAAATTTTAAAATCAAAATGTGTTTAGCTCGCCTCCCAACAACTTCAACACTCTGAATAAAAATTGCCAAAACTCAGGGAATTATTCACATTTCGTAAGTGTGGATGATATTCAAGGTACTTCCAAGGATTTTTACAATTTAAAAATAAAAAAGAGAGAAAAACAATGTTTTTGGCTTGTTTATCGGGGTTAGCGCTAACGCAGACCCCACATTTAGAAATAGCGTACCAGAGTTGTTCACATTTGGGATGATCTCAAATCTCAACCCAACTGGAGTGCAATAGAAAATGTGGTGTGAATTTTAGTTAATATAAATTCTTTTTATTGTGTAAGGAGCGGGGAATTAACAGAAAACATCCAATTTGCTCTCTTGTCGCATGTCAGAAAGAACTCTGCTTTTGGAGCCATTAAAAGTTTCTTAAAAAAATATCCAAAAAAAGGCAACGAAAAGAAACAAAATTCCATGTATTATCAAACCTGGTTTCGCAAACAAAAAAAAATCAGAAAATCTGTTATGGTAATAAGGACAAGTAAGTTTGATCTTTGGATGTCATCTTTTTTTGTTACCATGACAATGGAATATCTCATTATTAAATATGTGAGCTCAGGCTGCATGACCATTGAAGTCACGGTGTTTTTACCTTCTAGAATATATTTGTTTCAAAACTTTAGATAAACTAAAATCAAAAATAAATGATCATCTGGAAAACAGTGATATTTTCTGCAAACCCAATTTCTTTATTTGCGTTTTTTTTTTTTAAATCACAACACCCACACCCTCCCGGAGAAAAGAAAACTGGTGGAAAATGGAAATAAAAAGGACATTTATATTTATCATCATCAGAATGGATTCATTCTTTATTGAGTGTAGTTCAGTGGGAGGAGAAGAGGCATATTCATGATTGTACCAAGGAAATTTGCGCGAGAGAAGAGATGGATTCAAACTTTTATCAAGGGAATTTGCGCGAGAAAGAAGAGGTATATTCATGCTTTTACCAAGGGAATTTGCGCGAGAAAGAAGAGGTATATTCATGCTTTTACCAAGAGTATTTTATGCTGTATTTTATGAGTATTTCATGCTTTTACCAAGGGAATTTGCGCGAGAGGAGAAATGGCATATTCATGCTTTTACAAAGGGTATTTACCCTAAGGGAGAAACAAGTATTCATGCTTTTACCAAGGGAATTTGCGCGAGAGGAGAAATGGCATATTCATGCTTTTACCAAGGGAATTTGCGCGAGAGGAGAAATGGCATATTCATGCTTTTACCAAGGGAATTTGCAATTTTGAGAGAACCCCCATGCTTTTACCAAGGGGAATTTAGAGGAGAAATGGCATATTCATGCATTTTTACCAAAACACAATTTGCGCGAGAGGAGAAATGGCATATTCATGCTTTTTACTCAGGGAATTTGCGTGAGAGGAGAAATTGCATTCATGCTTTTACTAAGGGTATTTGCGCAGAAATAAATATAACAAAGTCAACGGGTATTGGAACTCAGCTCTACGATTAATAATTTCGAGCCATTATCCATTACACCACACGCACATCCAAGCTTACAGTTCCTAGTATTCCCAAGCAATCAGCCATCTTATTACTGACCAGGATTGACGTTGCTTAACTTCGGTGATCGTACGGGTACCGGTGTTTCAACTTGATTTGGCCGTATGCTTAAAGGTCATAGATAAAGTAATTTTTAATTAGGTATCTCCAAAAAAGCAATACCTAAGGTTTAAAATGCATTTTAAAAATGAAAAATCTTGAATTTTATATTTTAGTTTTCATTCCAGCTATTTAATATTGACAACAATCAAAATACTTTACTGTATTTCAAACCGAATTTAAATGGATTGAAATTATTTTTAACACGGTAAAATCGTCCATATTGATAAATCTGTCAATACAAGATAATTATCTTTATTAAAAATCTTTCAAAATTGAAATATACTTTTCTGAAACCTTATTTGAGGAAGATTAACAGTTTAAATTTTGATTTATTTGAATTAAGACAAATAGTATTTACTTTTAGCTTAAAATAATCCTGAAAAGTATTTTTAGCGCGGAAATGGTGGCATTTATGAGATGTGGATAGATTTATCGCTAGCTTAAATATGTTTGGCATCTTAATTAAAGAACAAATAACTGTAAAAAATCATTTGACAAGTACAATACGAACGTCCATTTAAAAAACCATTTTAACTACCCAGCAGTCTTTAAAATTTAGGAAAATATTCGAATTAGTCTAATATTTTATTGAATTTTAAGTACTCTGTCTTTATAGGCTTACTGGTAAAGACGCTTGTTGATAAAATGTCAGAAAATTACCAATAAATTTTACATTTATAGTTACTGTACCCATCTATATTTCTGAGATGAGGTATTATATACACTATTTACATTATTCGGACTATTGTCCTCATTTTTGTTGCCATATTTATTACGTTTCGGCCGTTGTATGCTCTGGCCTTCTTCAGGTGGTTGGAATGTCGAACTGAACTCATTATTTCGCTCACTGGGGTAGACTGTTCTAGTTCTACGTGCCATATTTAATACCCAGAAATTCATACACAGATGTCCTCAAGCACACATGGCACAGTGGATAAAGGCGTTGGTTAGATCCAGTGACAAGACCCAAAGAGTGTGAGTTCAATACCCGGTTAAGGCAGTGGAGAATTTGGAGAGGGGAATTAACAGGAGATAACTGACATGCATTAAACATGGCACGTGGAACTAGAACAATCTACCCCAGCGAACGAAATAAAGGGTTCAATTCTGAAGAAGGCCGGAGCGTACAACGGCCGAAACGTTGTAATAAATATGGCGACAAAGATGAGGACAATTGTCCGAATAATGTAAATAGTGTACTATAGTTACTGCTCTTATTTTCTGATAATGTCTATGGCCATCTGGGTTTACAAAAGTCGTTACGTTTAGTATACACACAAAACGAATATTCACCTTGAGGCAACGGGGGTATGGTTCTACAGAAGGATGATGAGGATATTATAAACCGAGCGTGTGAGCGATGAGGTCTTGGAGAGGATGCAAACAAGGAGGAAGGTGAAATTTCTGGGACACGTAATGAGAAAAGAGTCTGGAGAATCTGATACTCACAGGTCGAATAGAGGGGAAAGAGAGACAGGTGAAAACAACGCGTGACATGCCTAGCAGGTTTAAGCAAGTGGATGACAGAACAGGGTCTGGGAGACGTAGCAAAGTGATAAAACTTGCTGAGAGCTACAAAGGATAAGTGGAGAGCCATGATCGCCTACGTCCTGAAGAATCGCATAAAAGAAGAATCATAGTATTTACTTAATAACAATATCACCTAACCAGTACACATTAATACATAATTGTAAAAAAGATTTAAAAGATTATAAATTATTCTAATTAAATCTTTAAAAAAAAAAAAAAAAAAAAATCTAACCAATTATTTTCACTATTTACATCGTTCGGGCTGTTGAAATCAAAGATGAAGACGTTTCGGCCGTTGTACGCTCCAGCCCTCTTCAAGTGATTGGAATTTCGAACTGATACATTTATTTTATCCACCGGAGTAGACTGTTCTAGTTCCATGTGCCAGGCTTCTTCTAGATATCTCACCTAAAGAAGGCCGGAGCGTACAATGGCCGAAAACGTTGTATGGCGACAAAGATGAAGACAACAGTCCGAACTTTGGACATAGTGCAAATAATCACAATATCTCATTTCAGAAATGTAGACAAAAAAATATAAAAGCAATTCTTGTAAAAAATTCATCGAAAAAACAAAACAAAAAAAAAACTGCAATGACAGTGTTCATAATATATCTTATTTAGAAGAACAATTAAAAGCCTTTCTAATTTGATACTGTCTAGTTTTATTCCACGATTCCAAGCAGATTTTTTTCTAAGATGGAGCCGTGTTTAAAAAACAAATTTAATGATTTATATTCTCCACGTACTGTCGAAACTCTTAAATGTAGCCGTCTCTTCTACTCTAATAGCTTCATGTCTCGCACCTCTCGCCTCTGGAACTCCCTTCCCTATTCCAGTTTCCCTGAGAGTTATAATCTCCAGCTATTCAAGTGAAATGTCAATCGACATCTCCAGTTGCCTTGATCTATCCACCCTTTTCTCCTCATCCTTTCTTCTATCACCCTATCTGATCTCGTTCTAAATTTTCTTTAACCCTTGCGTCCTAGTGGCTTCCCGATTGCTTGGGGTGAAATGCTTTAAAAAAAAAAAAAAAAAAAAAAAAATTGTAATTATAACTAATATATGTATAAACATTAAGCTGTACAAAATTGAATTTCTCAAAATTTTATAAAATTAAATAAGTGGAAGTAACAGATGTGAAAAAAAGAATATTTTTACGAAGGTTTTCTAAAAAAGAAACGTTTCTAAAATAATTTAATTCATTTGTGAATAATTACTAAAAAGTATTAAACATAAGTTTTTTTCTATATATTTATTTCAAATATTCAATAATAATCAATAATGACCTGTTGACGCAATAAATAAATTAATAATTAAAATTTCGAAGGTTTTAAAAAGGATTGAAAAATATAATCTAATAATAAAAATAAAATTGTTTGATTTTTTCCTCTTAATAATAACATCAAGATTTTGACGATAAAACTTTGATTTTTATTAAGTTTGGGGCATTTTTTCATCATGTCTGTTCATATTTTAACGTATCATTGGCGGTACCTATTTTGAATTTAAAATAATACTTATAATAAAATAAGTATTATTTTTATTTAATATTTAAAAGGACGTTTTCATTTACAGTAAATAAAGTAATATTTTTATAAAGTTCAGCGATGACAACCGTATATTAAAATATTGCTTGCCTCATTTTTTTTTATTACTACAATCGTTTTATTAACAGGAAAAAATAAATCATATATATTTGCGTCCAGCATGAAACAGCTTGTCGCCTCTGAGGGTTGACTTCAATGTTTACTTTTATATTTATATTTACATACGCTCTATCTCTGATATTGAGCACTTTATTCCATATATATAGCACACCTAAATATATATATATATATATATATATATATATATATATATATATATATATTATATGCTCAGTACTTAGTGGATAGTGCTTAATATCAAAAATATAGAGCTAATATTCAGTTGTATGGATGAGTTTGTAACCCATATTTCACACTTTTGATCATCAGACAAACTGGTTTATTTTTTTTAAATTGGATCTATGCTTTTTTGACTGTTTACTGTTGTGGAAGGGAATTTCCTTCTTTTATTTGTTTTTATAAGACATTCCTGCACATAGACAGACACACGCACACAGGTGTACGCATTTTAGTTCACACAAACACATACATATAAACAGTACATACATACGCAGTTGTAATTCTATTACAACTGCGTATGGATGTATGCCCGAACGCATGGATGTGCTTAAAAAACTAAAATGCGTACACCTGTATCTGTGTGTGTCTATGCGTAAGAAAGACATGAATTATTTATTAATCCGAGATTTTATTAAACATTATTTTTAGTGGATACTCATATTTCAGTAGACGTTCCGTTTATTTATTTTTGTCTTTATATTATTCACACACTATTTATATATATATATATATATAAAATCAACAAGAAAACATTTTTTCTTTATTATTATGCTCTGTAGTGTACATTGAGCTCTCCCTGGAATTATCCAAATTGGGATATATATATATATATATATATATATATATATATAAAAAGGTTATCGGGTTTCCTTATTTAGCGGACGCAGGTTCGAATCCCATTCAATAGCATATATTTTTATTTAATAAGATTTCTCAAATATTCAAGCCAGTATACGAAAGTATTAAATTGTTTAATAAATCAAAATTCATTACTTCTTTAGAATAAGTATGAGTATGTATATATATATATATATATATATATATATATATATATATATATATAAAATAAAGATAAAAGGAAAACTTATATATGAATAATAATGACAATGAAAACTTGACTGAGCCGACACGGTTCGTCCTCTGCGGAACTTCATTTGACTTGATAAAATCCCACAGAGAATGAAACCGTCGTCTAAAAGTTTTCTTTTTGTCTTTCTTATTCAAATTTCTTTTTACAGATATGGTCTATATCAGAGGTTCTCAACCGGGGTCTACATGGACCCTAGGGGTCCATGTAATATTTCCGGGGGTCCACAGGCAAAACTCAATTGTTGTGTTAATTAAAAATAGTAATAATAATTATTATTATAATTATAGTAGAATATTTTATTTGTATTAAATTAGTTTTCATTTAAAAATAAAGCTTAATCGTATACTATTTCTTTGATAATTAAAACCTTAAAATTTATATTAGTGAAGAATAGAAAATTGTTCTTATGTCCAATAGCTATGAAGGGGTCCACCAAGATAAAAAGAAGGGGAAAGGGGTCCATGGGTAAAAAAAGGTTGAGATCCACTGGTCTATATGAAACTTTTACACACGCAAGCACACACACATATATATATGTGATTTTACAAGCGTAGCTTAGATGTGGCACAAGGCCGAAATTAGGGTGCACTCAGTGAGGATCGATCTCACTACTCAGTTGTAATTGTTCTAGCGAGCCAAGCTTGCTAACCATTACACCGCCTCGAGGTGCCCCCCCACACACACATACATACATACATACACACATACATACATA